ATTTTTAATATGTTTTAACAATATAAATAAATTGGGTATATTTTTTAATAACGTAAAAAATATCTTAACTTACAAGACTAAAAATTATCTTATTGTTTAAAAATGGAAATACGTTTAATACTTTTATTAATAATTTAATTACCCCGCTATAAAACAATTTTATAACATTTTTAATAACATAAAATATAATAAAATTAATAAATATTATTATTAATATTAAATATATGAAAATGCATTAAGATAGTTTAAATTTACGATAAAAATATTATTAATTTTAATTATATCGTATATATTAATATAATACATATTAAAAACAAGCTAGTATTTTACATTATTAATAAGGTAATATTATTTTAAGTAGCAAAATTTTTAAAAGATATAATTATTAAATATACGTAAGATATATTATAAATAATATAAATAAATAATTATTTTAAACTATTTAATAATTTAATATTTAATATAAATATAAATTTTATAGTAAATAAATTATAATTAACGTAAAAGGCTTATTTGTTATAATAAAAAATATTAATTAAAATATATAACTTTATTGAAAAATTAAAGAAATATTATAAACCTTTATAATAAACATATAAAATCATATTAAAAAACCTTTAAGAAACTTAAATAAACATATATCATATCTTATAAATAACTGTTAAGGTAGTTAATAATATTGTAAAATCAAATAATTTAATTTTAATATTATTTATGTTTAAAGTATACCTAAGGTTAGTTAATAATATTATGCCTATTTTGTTAATAACGATAAAGGTTATAACCGTATATAAAGTAATAAAAAATACGTAAAATTATTAAAATTGGTACAAAAAACACATTATAACGGTATGTGTAATAAAGAACCTACGGTATATATATTGTTATAATATACTAATTAAAAGTTATATTTAATATATTAAAAATAACTTAATATTGAAAATTTAAAAAAAAATTTATTAAATTTAATAAAAAATTATAATAATAATTAAATAATTTTAATAAGGTTTTTAATATATTTTATTAAACTTTATAACAATTAAAATATTTGTTTTTATAAATGGATTATTTATAAATAAAAAAGATTTAAGTTTTTAAATTAATTATAAAATATTTATTATTAATAAAATTATTAACAATAAAAATTTTATAATAAAAAACAATTTAATTTACTAAAATTTAATAAAATATAAATAAATTATAAAAAACATTTTAATAAATAAAATATACGTTATGATTTATGGAATAAATATAATAATAACAATTAAATCTATAGTAATATTAAAATTTTAATAAATTAATACTTTTATTTATTCTTATTATTATATATATTAACTTATTTTTATTATATAAATATATTATAAAACTTAGAACTATAAAAGAAAAATAATTAATAATTAATATTATTTTATTATAATAATCGTACAAAAAATAAAAAATATATAATATTAAATAAATTTATAAAAAAGATAACCTAATTAATATAATAATAAAAATAAACATTAATAAAATCTTAAAAACATTTTTAACATTAACTTTTTTATTATAAAATTTAAAAATTAAATTAAAAAAAATTAAAATAATTAAAAAAATATTATTATAATATTAAAATTTAATAAATCTACAAAATTACTTAATTTTACTAATTCTTTCCTATTTTAACCCAATATTTAATAACAATAACGAAATATATAATAAATTATTTAAAAATTAATTATAAAAATTATTTATTTATTAAAAAAGAAAAGAATTATTAATAAAATAATATAATATATAAATTAAAATATACCTTAAAAAACCGTATAAAGAATAATTTAACCATTTTACAAAGAAGTTTAATCTTAACAATAATATTTTTTAACTTAATATAAATATCCTTAACCATATTAACTAAATAATTATCCCACTTTTAAATAATCTTACAACATTATTAAATTATATAAATTTTATTTATTTAACCTTCATTTTTTATTTATTATAAATATTTTTTAAAATCCTTTTATATATTTTTTATAATATTTTAAAAACGTTAATAAATAACTATATTACACATTATACATAATACTATTTACCAAATAAATACTTAAATTATTAATTTAAATTTTAACAACTATTTTAATAAAATAATAATAATAAATTAATAAATTAATATATAATTTTTAATTAATAATATAACATTAATATTTTATTAATATAATTATAATAAATTAAACAAAAAACAAAACCAACGCTTTAAAATTACTTATTATTTATTTCGAAATAATAAAAACTTAATTCCTTAACACTTAACCGTTAATTTATAAAATTATAATAATATTATTAATATAAAATAACTTATTTTATAAAAATATTAATATAATATTTTTTAACTATTATAAATAAATAAAAAAGATTACTATGTAAAAGAATAATAATAATTTAAATTAATCTAAAAAAGAAAATAATTTTTTTTCGAAAAAACCCGTTTTTACCGCGTTAAGTTAACGTTTAAGCTTTTTATTTTAAAAAAATATAATTATATAAGAACGCGAAAAAAATTATTAATATTAAAATAACAATTATATAACTTTATTATATAATTAAAATTATATCCATATATACCGCTTACGTACAATTTATACATTTATATAATAAATATTTTTCCTTACTTAAAAAAAACCCCTTTTTTAAAAAATAATATAACTAATCAAAACATAATTGTTATTTATATTCCCTTTTATATTATTACATAATACATAATCAATCCAATAAATATTTTATTTAATTTAAAAGATATATTTATATATTAATTTATAACTTTTCTTTAATATAATTTATATATATAAATTATTATAACCGTTTTATACATTTTATTTATTTTAATTTATCATATAATATTAATAAATAAATTAACATTTTAAAAATAATATCTTTATTAATAGTAATTATATTTAAATATATTTTTTATTTTATTATATTATAATATTTACATTAATTATTTTATATTTTAATAAAAAATTATTAATAATATTTAATATTAAATTTAATATTATTTAAAAAGTTATAATATATTTAACAATTTATTATTTTTTTAATATTAATAAAATTAAAAAATAAATTAAAAAGTTAACCGTTATAACTTTTTTTATTATTATTAATATTAATTATATTATTATTTTTATATAATAACATAATTTTTATTAACGTTATTAAAAACTTAAATGGTTTAATAATTTATAATTAATTAAATTTTTTATAATAAACTATTAATTGAAATTTAATGAATTAATTTAACTTTATAAAATTTTAAATTATATATAATTAATTTTATTAAAATATTATTAATTTAAATAATATAATTTTTTATAATTTTTTAATATTTAATATTTTTAAATTTTAACGTTATTAACAAATATATCGGATATTATTAAAACATTATATAATATTAAAACTTTTTATTTAAATATTAATAAAATATATAATTAATTATTTAATAAAATTCATTTTTAATATATATAAATTTAAAATTTTAATAATTAACTTTATATTTTTATAATTAATAATATTATTATTTATAATTTTATTTTATAATAAAATTTCTTATAACTTTAATTATACTTTTAAGTAAAATTATATTTTTAAATATTTTATTTAAAAATTTAATATATTAACTTAATTATAATTATTTATTATATTTAATTGTATTATAACTTTTATATTATAAAAAAAGAAAAATATTTTTTTAAAAAATATAATAATTTTAAAAAATATAATAATTTTAAAAATAATAATTTTTTACTTATTCTTTTAATAAAGTAAATTTATTCTTTTTTATAAAAGACTTAAATAATTAAAAAAATTTATAATAAAGTAATTATAAATCGATTAAAGTAATAAAAGTTTATAATAAAATAATAATTAATTAAATATATTAAAAAGTAAGTTCGATTTAAAAACAAATTAAAATTTTATTTTAAAATTTAAATAATTATAACGTTATTAATTTAATAAAATTAAACCATTAAAATTTAAAATTTTATAATTAAATTATTGTTTTAATTTAACGTTTAATAAAGTTTTTAAATATAAAAATAAATATTAATTAATAAATAAAATAAATCTTTAAAATTTTAAATATTATAAAATTATTTTATAATATTAATATTAATTTAAATCTTTATAAAATAATTAATAAAAGATTTATTATATTAAAAGCTTTTAAATTATTAATAAAATAAAGTTATTAAATGTTAAAAATTATAATAAATAAAAAATTAAAATTATATTATAATTTTTTTTAAATTAAGTTAAATTATTTTATCGTTATAATTATTTTATTATTATGATTTTATTATTTTATATGTTTATAATTAATTTAAAAAATAAAAAAATAAATAATCTTTTTTTTTACTTTTTAATTATTATAATGTTATGTATATATATTTTTAATTTAATTTTTTTTCTTTTTATATAATTCTTTTTAAAATTATTACAAAAATTTATAAACGTTTATAATTTTTTAAATAAATAAAATATATATTTTATTTTAAATTTAAAAGTTTTATTAAAACGTTTTTTATTTAATCATATAAAATTTATATTTATATCATATTAATTAATAAAGTTATAAGTATTAATGATTTTTAACAATTTTATATATAAATTTATATATATAATGGGAAATGGGTGGCCTTAGTAATGGTGGTTTAACTTAATGATTTCATCCCGCTGCAACTTCGTACAACCATGGAAAAACAATCGATGCTCAGCCTAGCATCTTGGATCCAGATCTCAAAACTATTCCTTATCAACCTCATGCGCAAGTTATCCGGACTGGGTTCGTGTCCAAATATGAAGGTCTGAGAGACATTCGGCTTAAGCATCCACATTATAAAACTTTCCATGCAAGTGCCATTTCGGCTGTAGATGATCTCGATTTCATTCGCTTCTACTGGTGGCACATTGATGCTGCTCTATACGCCCTTGCACCGCGCGAGTAACTACATAGCTTGCGGTTAAAATTCCTGGAGGCTGCCGCCAGGTTTGCTGTTGTGTCAATGGAACCGGTGACGAGTTGCAAGTTCCTTTAGGCACCACGGTGTTTGTTTCGGGTTATACGACGTACGATCTATTTTCTGATGCTGATAAAGAGTTTGCTCGTACGTCTTGTGTTTAGTATGCGCCACATCCTTATATTTGGATTAGCAACGCAAAATCTCGTTCTGATAGACTGGGGATGGTTACACAGGGGCTCGAACACCCCTGGACGATCTACCACCTATCGAACAAGAAAAGATCCAAATTCTAGCTATGTGCTGGCGTGACCTAGTAACAGGCCAACTTGTTCTTTAGGTGGCAAACGGGATTGTTATTAACGACCTCAGCGAAGTCCGCGAAATCATATATCGGCTCCAACGTCCAGCCATCGCACCGAAACCGAAACTCGTTTATGCTCACGATTGGGAAGAGAGGGATTTTGTTTTATTCCATCGGGGGCTGCTCCATTCAGTAGTGGCTAGGTTGATCGTTTATAAATGATGTTCTAAGAACCAATACAAAATTATGTATGAATTCTTCACTATTTTACTCCGCCCAGACTGGACTGCCAATCCCTCCGTAATATCTCCCCTTTCCCTTTTTACCTCAGCCGTTTACTAGCCTAATCAACCGTCAAGAGTTGCTCGTAGAAAGCCGCGACCTTGTTTTCGTTGTCACGAAGGTGGATCTCAAGAATCCAGTGCCGCTTATTTCCATCTTTGCCAGGATTGCTCATGTTTTGGTCGTTCCCCTTGGTAATATAAAGAGATATCTTGTCCCGGGGAATACGTTCATGTGGGAAGAGCCCGACTAGGTGTCCAGCAAGTTTAGCGCCGAATTCCCAACCGGCATTTCGAGCTTCTTCGCAGGCAATGTTATACAATTGCTCGCCCGTCATATCTAGATTCTCCTGGTATCGAGATTTCACTATTTTCCATACTGGGGCAAGAGAGTCGCGTAGACGTTTCTTATTGGGGTCATCGCCAAGCACAAAGGTACGTGCAAAGTCGGCCTCCCAAGCCTCAAATACTGGTCCTAGGTCGACATATAGGATGTCATCTTCCCCAATGATACGATCAGGTGGGTTATCCTCAAATGGTAAAAGGGTATTGGGTCCGCTTCTGACAACTCTTTTGTGCCAATGTGTTTTAACACCATGGCGTTCTGTCCCAAGCTTATGGATCTCGTCGCTCAGCGTCTTCTCGCTAATGCCGGGTCGGATAAGCTTCTCCTCTATCTCCTCAAAAAGTTGGACGGCTTTGTTCTGGGCATCTAGGAGGTAAGATGCTCGCTCACTTTCTGTCACACTCATGATGTCGATTATTATACAAAGCCGTGTTCTGAGGTTGTAGTACAAAAATAGGACTACCCGAGTAGAAATGTAAAAAAGTTGCAATTAGGTGATTGAGGGGTAAATTACGCCTGGAGTTGCCGATATCTTTAATTGGTTTTATGCAGGTATGCATATGGTAAAAGTATAAACCATATTCCCGTATCAAAGCTCATATAATTTTATCCATACCTATATATGTTGGCAACGTCATGTACTTCATGTAACACACCTCACATAAGGTAATAACTAAAACTTGACCTTGTATGTCTCCATTGAGGAGCTGTGGCGGATTCTTTTTACACCAATTTAACTCTACATGGTATTGAGGTATTGACCTCGACAAAACTAGGCACCTTACGATACGACCGCAATGAAAGTACCGGCGCCGCTATATCTATCTATGTCGAGTGATCTATGAGAATAATCTATGTCTAGGTATCTTACCACCCCTCTGTGCTCCTTATAGTGTTTTGAGAGGCTATCACTCTTCCAAGAAGCCCGGGAATAGGTACTGGACCTTCTTCAACGCCTCGGGATTCCGGCCCTCGGGTTTAGTGCAAAACATCACAGCACTCTTACTGGCACCCTCCCAATGCTTGGCGGTAACCAACTCGCTATTCTCGTGTTTGCACAGCTCGTCTAACACGGCACCAACCAGCCGCCGCGCATTTTTGCTGTTGGTTTCCATATAGTGCATAACCATGGATACGTCAACATCTTCGGTAGTGTGCCAGCAATCGTAATCAGTAGCCATGCAGATGACCTGGAGCGCCATCTCTGCCTCTCTCGCCAACTTAGCTTCCGGTAGCAGTGACATGCTAATCACCGAACCCCCCCAGGAGCGGTACAGATTCGATTCGGCGCGTGTCGAGAACTGTGGGCCCTCTGATGATCGAGCACAGTTAGTAAAGCATACTAGTTAGTAGTTTATTTCAGTACCTACCCATACAGATGGCAGTTCCACTGCCATGCAATACTACACCATCACCGTGCATAGACTTTGCGCATTGGCGTACGATCTGAGCAATCTTGTCGTCGTAGGGGTCGCCGAAGGGGACGTGGCCGACAAGCCCATCCTCGAAGAAGGTAGAAGGACGAACGCCCTTAGTGCGGTCGATAACCTGGTCCGGCACAACGAAGTCCATAGGCTTGATCTCCTCGCGCAGGGAACCTACAGCAGAGAAGGCAACAACGCTGCGCACCCCAATTCGTCGCAGAGCTGCGATGTTGGCCCGGGAAGGAATCTCATGAGGCGCGTATTGGTGGTGAACACCATGACGGGCTAGGAACGCGACAAGCACGCCGCCATGTTCGAGGATCAGGATGGGCGCGGATGGATACCCCCAAGGCGTTAATGGGTTAACACGGGCGATGGGCGTGTAGCCGTCGATCTTGTAGAGTCCCGTCCCGCCTATGACGGCGATATGGACAGGCCCTGTAAGTATGAGCCATCGTATTAGCTAGCAACTCAGACGAGACTGTCTGCTAAAAAGAGGATGATGGAGATGAGGGCGGGGCAACTCGGGATATTCTCACGGTCGAAAGATTCAGGGAGATCAGACATTGTCTCGGTCCAGTTTTTAGCGGTGAAGTATTTATTATTATTATTTTCTTTCCTCTCAAGCCGTTTCAAAACACCTTTAAGTCAATATTAGGTTCTGTGGTATTTATGTATAATAGGTCTTGTTGCTACTGTTGCAGCTGTATTGCGATATAAAATTTACGATAAGAGGATGCCCCTCTCTGTGGAGAATGCTGATACATGCACAGGTATCTTATATGTGGTACCTATGTACATGTAGCTACCACGTGCTCTAATAGTACATAGATCCATAAGCAGATTGATGTTACAAATGGGCAAACTACAAGTACGGATTTCATCATTAGTTAATGTTTACCTAGGTTAGGAGGTTCTAGCGATTTCATTATATATTCATTATATAATATTAATTCCATACATTAGGTACTGCAGCTCTCACCGAAATGTAATAGTGTAGTTCAGGTTCACATAAGAGGTTGTCTTTTCTAAGTTCTCTAAGTACAAGCGGGGATGTAATTATGTTGGGCAAGACTAGGCTAAACTCCGGAACAACTTGCCCCGCCCGCCCCACAGTACTATATATGATATACCTAATAAACGTGACATTCTTGTAAGTTTTAATATGTTTAAACTGTCTTAATGATCCTCGAGAAAATTGGATATAATGTATTGTGAGGATGTATGTAGTGACGCATCGCGTAACGTTTATGTCAAATCACGACGCTCGACGCTTTCCCTGCCAACCGGGCCCAAGGCATTTTAGGATCTCTACTGGATGATCATTGAGGACGAATTGCCGGTGCTAGATAATAATCACTATGCCGGCTAATGAGACCGACTAATAATATTTTATGTGTGCCCGCTCCCATCCTGTATCGGTTCCATTTGGGGAAATTGTCGGTTAAGTGATGATATTTTAGTCCTAGGTCTATAATATACCTACCAGTGGTCATGGTGCTATGCTTTATGGCCGGAAGAAGTGACGAGGGGGGTGTTGGGATGGGCACGAGCTATCAGTAGTAATAGCTTCCCATGGTAGCCGTTAACTTTTCACTTCTTCAGCTACTCAGACATCACTGATCTCTGTTTTAGGCGCGCGTGAGCTTTGTTAAGCTTACGTTTATCACAATGTATTTCAACACGTTACTAAGAGTGTGCTATGTATTGGTGTTCTCGCAGCTTGGGTTTGCTCAGACGATTGTTGTGGGTGGTCAAGTCATCAGTCAGTCAGATTGCGATTCTATCACATCTGAATATGTATGAAAAACATTTTCTAGTAAACTAACCTGATATATTCATGCGTGAAGACGCCGATGAGTCAACCATTTCTCCTGCTTTCGCGCCCGTCGATGCTTCATCCTCTAATGCGACAGCCGACCTCTTCCTCGGGGAAACTCATCAGCTTACTGACGCTGTCCTTGCAAACCTCACTAACCTCGGATTAACCAACATAGTCCTGTTCGGGTTTGCTGATCCTGCAACCGCCCCTAATCAGTCTATTATCGGGCCTTGTAAAACCTTCCCGGGTGAATTTGTTGTTTTCCCTGGTCGTATTACTAACCGAGTATTCGACCTTCTCCTGGGTGGCAGCCTTATTCAGACCAAACCGTTTGCTTCGCCATGCTATAGTGACTACGGGAATCAAGATGCGGCAAAGTGTGCTGAGATTACATCTCACTGGTCAGATAACTCTTACATCCAGTGAGTTAATTCGCTCATCCCCTTCCCGGCGCTGTACTCTAGGGCCAGAGCTGAAGAGGCCAAGCACGAACGATCCAACTTCTATCAACGCAATCCTATTCGAAGGGACGTCATGTGTACCGCACACAGTAAACCCATTTGCGCTGAACTGTACTATTGGCGCATACCCGACGATGTCGGTTAATGTAACCACTGTCGCCCAAATCCAACTAGCTATCAACTTGGCGCGGAGCCTTAACTTGCGACTCGTTATTAAAAATACAGGGCATGACTATAGCGCAAAGAGTACGGGAGCTGGTGCTCTTTCTCTCTGGACTCATAACATGAAAGACATCCAGTACTACGAGAGCTACGAAGAAGGGTCGTATAGAGGACCAGCTTTCAAGATGGCAGCTGGTGTCCAAGTATTTGAGGCATACGAGGCAGCGCATAATTACAACCTTACGATTGTTGGTGCTGAGGGGAAGGTGAGGCGTTTATTAACTCCGCCGGGGACAGAGCTAACGATACCATCTGCAGACGGTCGGGCTTACAGGAGGGTATATTCTAGGTGGCGGCCACTCTCCTTTGTCAAGTCTATATGGAATGGCAGCAGACCAGGTTGGTTTATTTTCACGGGCATTATAACCGCGTGGGCTAAAATCATGACAGGTCCTCTCTATGGAAATAGTCACAGCCGACGGTCGCTTCTTCACAGCCAGTGAAACCTCAAACCCCGATCTCTTTTGGGCTCTTCGAGGCGGCGGTGGATCGACTTATGGGGTTGTTACATCTATGGTGATCAAGGCGTTTCCTGAGATTACAGTCTCAACGATGACATTTAGTCTATCTACAGGGGAGAACGTATCTATGGGTCAGTTCTGGAAAGCCTTTCGCGCTTACTTCGAGGGTTTTGTTAACTACACCGATGCTGGGAACTACGCTCATTTTGACTTAAATGCTACGAGTGGAAACTATGTCTGGAATATGGCACCTTGGTTTGCTCCAAACATGTCTAAATCGGAATTGGAGGTCCTTGCCGACCCCTTCTTCAAGGCTATTGGTAGCATCGGGATCGATCTGAAACCAGTTTATCAAGAATACACAAACTTCTATGACGCATGGAATACTAGCTTCCCTCTCGAACTTTGGGGGTCGAATCTTGCTAGGTACGGTAGCCGGCTTTTCCCACGGGAAAATTGGAAGGATTCGACGAAACTGTCATCTACTTTTGAGGCTATTCGTCACGTTATAGACAATGGTGGCGTGGTATCAGCCTACAATGTTGCTGCCGCCCCGAAGTCCGGGTACCCTGATAAGTACGTGAATTGAGGTTATTCCTCTTGCCCTCCTTTCGACTTGTCCCGAGAATCACCGTCTCCTTATCGGGCTGATTAGGAAGATGTTTTTCTCGGAACTTACTTAAAATTTCTAGTTTCCCGATTGGAACATACAATTATTGATTTTGTTATAGTGCTGTTAATCCGGCCTGGCGTGAGACTGTGCTACACGCTATCGACATCGTGGCATGGACTCAAGATATGTATACGGAACTCATCACAATATGGAGTAACGTTTTGACATCTGACTGGGGATCGTTATGGCGTTCGGTATCGCCCGGTTCGGGAGCTTACCTTTCCGAATCAGACTATATCGAACCCGACTTCCAGCAGTCATTCTGGGGTAACAAATATGATCGGTTATACGAGCTCAAGAAGAAGCTGGATCCTTGGGATGTGTTTTACGCCCAGAATGCGGTGGGTTCAGAGGACTGGGAGATGTCTGATTGGATTTTTGGGAATTTGCCGTCTCAGAACAGTCGGCTGTGCCGAAAGGGGACGAATCCCTCGCAGCAAGGGGCGATGAGGATGGTTCATGGGTAGTTCGTGTAAGAGGGGTGTTAACCTAGAGACCTAGTGCTTTATCTCGAAGCCAATGTATGTATTGATCTTAATGAAGTAAATGCAACATTAATTTGGTGGTATTATGCTTCTTTAGTGCTTTTCTCTGTGATATATTATGTATTTAGGTCCTGGGACGTAATAGCCGTCTGGTTGCAAGTGAAGTTTTTAAGAAACATACCGGTGTATCGGTGTATCGGTGTATCGGTGTATCGAATAAGTGGTCGATACCTTGCAAATGGAAAGGAACAAATAATCCCTGCTAATTAATATAGAATTCACTTAAACAAATACATGTACTTATAAAATATCAGCCCCACCTGATGCTACCCGCAAACCCGTTCAACCTCACCATGCCGAACTTTTCATCCCAAATCATTAGATTAACCTAAGTTAGGTTATTGCATTTTCACACTTAACGTCTTAATCACATATTTTCTTTGTCTCTCTTTTTAGTTCTTTTCAGCTGCCACGATCTGCCACTTCGTGATCCGCCACATCCTAGGTACCTATCTATGACGGGTCACTGTATATGTTGTATTTTTTTTTACCTGCACCTTCAGGCAGCGCGTCATCGCCTAGGTTCTGAGAGCGCGGTAATCTTACCGGGGTTGTAGACATATTGTCATGGCATCATCTCCTTCTGGACTCATTAATCAGTTAGACCTCGACACTGCTAAGATGTGGAGAGACGACTCCATCGAGGAGCGCATATTCTCGGCAGCTTTAATATGTCTAGAAGGTCACTACAACCAGTCTCCTGCAATGGGACCCCAATCCATCGCTAAGGTGACTAGTATTATCTCTAAAACATTAGAGAAGACGCATACCTTCAAGGACGTTAGGTAAGTGTCTCAAGGAGGTAGCTTCGGAAAACAGAACCAAAGGAAAAAAAAGAAAGGAAAATCTATAAATATGTTACTAATACTCTAATCGTAGGGAAGTCCTATCGAGAAATGTGCGGGTATGGATATGGCTACGTCGAGCTGTATCCGCCGCAATATGTGATCTCAATGAGAAGTCTCTTGGTGTACGATCGGAACCTTTTGTTCAAACGAAATTCCTCGACATCACTACCCCAGAGGTTACCGCTTTGATTATCAAGAACTACGTGCCTTTAAAGGAGGCGTTGCAGATGCTCAACAAGCTCATGCATATTGCTCGAAATCTGCTTGTCACTACCGACCCAGAGGTCCCTCAAGATCTGTCCGCAGCTATCCAGTTCGACCATGAAGTATATGAATCCATATGTCTCTGTGTCAACGTGACTAGCAAGGGAATTGATGGGGAAATGCCAGAAGATGAAGCCTCTAGGGCTAAGCTGAATGAGATCACCGAACTATGTACGTGGAGCCCCTTGCCAGTAGGTATAATCTGCATAGTTAACCTTTAGTAGGTAAAAAGGTCCTTGTGACATCCCTACAGCAAGCTCACAATTGGATTGCCAAGAATAACCGCAATAAGATGTTATTTTGGTACAAAGTATTAATTGAATCTCCTGACGCTGAGAGCAACCCAGGTCCAGAGGATCGGCATGAGTCAGTGCTGGATTACCCAGCTCCTAGGAGTATTCACCTGCGAGACGAAATTTCGAACTGGCTAAAGAGATCGTCGCGAATGTGCGATGCTGCTATTAGCATTTGCAAGGAATATTTTCATGCTCAGAGCGCCGAAAAGAAGGATCAATGGTTACTCCATGACGAGAATCTCCTAGCCTGGAATTACACCCCGCCTGAAACCTGGGCGTGGCAACCGGATATGTATGACGAGGCTGCTGAATTGGTTTCAACGTGGAACTCCGAAGAACCCGATAAGTTTGAGCAGGATAGAGCATATGGCCGTGTATCGCATGAACTCGACAAGTGGTGGTACGGTGCACGTGTCCCCAACTCAAACGACTGGAGTCTGACAATGTACTCAACCGTTGACTCTGTTCCTCAGCGCATTAAGGAATGCGAATCCAATCTCATGCAACGCTACGCAGCTACCGAACCACAGGAGGACCCGAATGATACGATTGAGCATCATATAGAGGAAGAACACAGTGTTGAATGGCAAGGCCAGACGTCTCAGTCGGGTCAGGCCTTCGCCCCCGAGTACGATGAATATGAGGAAGAAGCTGATGACGACGATTCATATGGTGAAGGGCCAATGACTGGGCTTCTGACCGAGGTGCCAAATATCCTTGATCCTAAACAGATAGAAGCACTTCATATGATCGTCAAATCTTGCATATTAGATTCAGCGGGTTCTGGTTTAACTATATTCCGCGAGAACTTGCAACAAACCCGTTGTCGTATCTTTCTTGCCACCGACTGCGGTAGGAACCTCCTGAGGGAAATGCTTGTCTTTATAGCCGTATGGGAAAAGGATGAACAGTCTTTAATATTTCAGATTAGCAGTCAGATAGTGCAGGCGATTCACGAAAACTCGCTCATCCCCTACGCATGGATGGCGCTTCGAAGCCCTAAGGATATCATTTCGCCAGCACAAACAGTCCTACTTCGGCTTATTACTTATTTATTCCGCACAGCTTTGTTCCCCCCTAAGGATTATGATCCCTTCCCAGATACAAAAGCAGAAGATGTCGAAAAGATCCTCGCAAACGAAGATGTTCGTCTCGGAAAGATGCTTAACTATCTATATGGTCTCTTCCGCAGCCGTATCGTCCCAGAATGCGTCGCCTTGATGCAAATTCAGGGCGAGGTCCGTAAGGGTCGACTAGATCCCGCCGACTTCCCAGTTGATAACTGGGATCTGGAGCGGGCCAAAGACGGTCTGGTACAATACCTTGATTTTCTTTACACGGTTGCAGATATCCATCCTCTTCGTCAACATCTCATCGACTACGAGGCTGTCTATGAGCTCCTTAAGTTGCTTGAGGGCCTTGATACCGGGGTGGAGAAAGCACCATTCCCAGGCACTCGACGAAACGAGCCTCCCGCCACACCCTCTACTACCACATCAACACACCAGGCGTCATCATCCAATAATCCGCCACCTCCTCCGCCTCCACCACCACCAATATCCGATCCGCCCTACGAGTTCCCCTGGTCGGGTATCAAAGGCCAAGTTTTATCTATACTTGCCGCTCTCTTACAGCCACCGCCTGGTCAATCCTCGCCTGGCAATCCGACAGTGCAGCTCCAAATTTTACGTCATAACGGAATAGTGGCCTTGCTTAACTGCTGTTTATACGACGACAACAACCGCTTCTGCCGTGAGCGCACACAGCTCTGCCTCAAATGGCTTATGGATGGCTGTCCGGATGCCTCGGCATTCCTCCAGAGCCTCGTCAGCGCCAACCAAGGGCAGCCAGTGGCGCGTCCACCTGTCGGCAGCAACTTAACACAGAGCGTCAGGATAGACGGCGTCCCTGGTGAGGTTAGGGTCCAGGTGCGCAGCTCGAGCGCGCCCGCTGGAGAAGTCGGCGAGGTAGTAGGGGATGGTGCAAGTTCAAGGAGTAGGCTGGAGGAAAATAAGAGTCGTAGCGAGGAGCTTGTTAATGACCTCTTAGCGCTGACTGTTATTGACAAGACTGGTAAGATGACTATTTCTCCCGATGGTGATGACACGGAGGATGACGACTTCATGTGATTAGACTGGAAAAAGGTAAAGGTTTCCAAACATTAGGGTCATAATGGTGGCATGAGCGGATGGGATTATCATAAAAACCGTAGTTATCCTACGAGTTGCATCGGACGGGGAGTAAAACTTTGATCGGTATTTGTAGTCGGAAAAGGGATACTAGGAAAGCTTATTGTTGCGGCCGTATGATCAGTCAAGCAGTTGAGCCACTCGAACAGTGAGGAGAAGAGAACACTCCGTGTATATGGGATACTCACTCGGCTCACTAGCCCGAGGGCAAGTATTTTGTAAGAGTGATATTGTATGGTTCGCTTATTACACATTGCATTTTGACATGTAATGAAAGAAGCTTAAGTGCTCCTTCTTTTTAGCTACCAAGTGAGCCATGCGCATCAATGCTTTTCAAAGGTATGATTTGCGAAATCGATAGGTTGACAAGTATCTTTCTCCTCAGTTTCTACTTGGCCGAGCGATTCGTTCATCTCAGTAGCTCGTTTAGAAAGCAAACGTAACCTGCCCCTCCGCTCCTTTCTCCCATAGACGGCTATCTTGAACCTATTATGTATCACCTGGATATATCCTGGCCCCGTGACCTAGAGCACTTACATGATCCTGGCTATCTTCTCTAGCAACTCGACATCCCGTACAGCTATGCCTAGGAGTAGTTCGTTCGTGAGCGTCTGTAAGACGTTGATGCCTCCTGAGTTGAGCTTTATGGTAATGAATTTGTCTATACCAACTCTATTCTGGCTACATAACAATTCCTCAATTCTTGAAAACTGAATGTCTAGATTCTCACTGGAGTATATCCCCCCTTTCTCGTCGCTAGTAGTAGCGATGGCCTTATAGTGTATATTGTGTGAATGGATATCGTTAGAAAGTTTTCCTGATTCTATCTGGATCTCACTTGATACGATAACGTTGGGGGGTATGCCACATTGAGTAGCTACACTAGTATATTGATCATATGCCGTATTCAAATTCCGATTGTTAACATCGGTGGAGATATCAGTCGTCCTAAAGCCCCTTGCGCTTTGTACATCGCCTAAGGCTCTGACGCTTCGAGAGTTTTCAAGTAGGTCGGTTTCGTTGATAATATCGTATGGATTAGGCTTCGGAGCATCTGCTGCCTTGGGATTCGCCAGTTTATTTGACACTAGCATGGGGCCAGTATTGTCTACCATGGTGGTTAGATATTGCGCCGTAGTCCTTTTGACGTCAGATTCTTTGAGGGGTTGATTGATTTCCTCCGTGGTGGTATTATTGTCCGTGGAATTCGTTTCAGGAGTCTGAGCTGGTCGTGTGTCAGAGGTGTTCGTCAAGGGCGCTTTCTTGGACGTCCTAGGGGTGCCGACCGTTTGAGATTGGGTTCGAATCACATTGAATTTAATCCTCTTTGAGGAATTGGATTTTTCGATAACATGGCTAGTCGTTCTTTTCTGACCTCCTAAAAACCCTAATGTTCGTTGCTCAGATAGGACAACAGCTGGGCTTAATTCCCGCCGGCTTCCTTCCGCCGTGCTAGCGCTCAGCGGTGGTATTTTTCGGGAACCACGGTTGGCAACGGGGCGTGTGGTTCTAAGTGTTCCCTTTGAGAGCTCTGTATCCGCTGGGGTAGTGGCGTGTAAGGAGATATCATTTTCGGGATTCTGAGCCGCCCCATGTTGTGGGAATTGGGTGGTATGGGGGGGGACTGATTTGTCAACGCTATCTAAGTCCAAAGATGTGGCTGGTCTAGGTGGATGAGTGAAGCTACTATAGCTGTCGCTATGGGTACGGTGATTTAGGTAGACAGGGACTGAATAAGGCCGGTTTGACGATAGCTGTAATGATGGGATAGGCATTTGATGTGCTCCAACCCTATTCACAGTGGCCCTCTGCATTCGCAAGGGTATGGCTCGAGGACCTCCTGGCAGAGGGTGGTATTCCTGAGACCATATTGGTTGAGGAAGGTAACCATATGCTGCCGGAAGAGGAAGGGGATTTCGAGGATATCCGAAATGGGGCCTATATGAATTAGAAGATGGGATATGTAGATCTTGAATAGGCGTCGAGAGCCTGCGGTGACCTGGTTGTTGCATTGTGACTGAGGTAGAGAATTGATGTAACTTGAATGTTCAATGTTGGTATTAATACATACCTATATACATGTACTTGTATGATATTGGCGAGCGCATATATGGGAAGGAGCACTAGTATACATGAGTTTAAAGCTACTGGCAATGGCAATGACAATGACAATACCCTTTACTTAATCTACCTAGGTACCTACACACTACACCTTCCCTGAGGCTATTCACCACATAGGAACTTACAACCAACAAGGACCTAACGATAAGAGCTAGGTACGTATTATGTACATAGGTACACGTCCCCGGGCGTTAGTGCAGTGCACTGACCAACGCGCATTTTTTGGAGCAACACGACTCGGCCCCATCCAAACTATCAATCTTTCATTTTCGCGGTCGCGATTCCTACGTACTGTAATTCCTTAGCTTTGCGACTTGACTTCTTGCGCATCGCCAGCTTAAATCCCTATAATCTCAATTTGTTAGTTCGCGGAACCGCGAATCTACATCCGGAAATTATTCATCTCTACCGTCATCTGCTTTACACGCAATCGCAACACCTCAGCTTGAAATAAGCAAACAGATAAAGTGTATGATCGATGCTCTAATTACTCTACGTCTATTGCGACTCCTTGAAACCCTCCTCATGAGAATTACCGTTACCGATTGCGACGGCCGCGACCTGTGTTAGATCAAGATGGCCCCGAACCGTGGCCTTGGGAGCAAGGATATTTACATCCACGAAATTGATCGCACTCCAGAATATGTAGAGTTCATCCAGAAGCTCACGGCTTTCCATGAGAAACGTGGCACCTCGTTCGAACCTGAACCCCGACTTCCTACTATGCACGGTCATGTCAACGTCGACCTATTGAAGCTATATAAGGCCGTCATCTCTAAGGGAGGCTATGACGAACTCAACAAGGTTCAGAAGTCTTGGGGTGGCCTTGCTGCCGAACTGGGCATGCATCATACAGATAGCAAGGGCACCGGTCAGCTCTCTTTTCAATTGAAACAGGATTTCTATCGTTACCTTGCCGCATACTGGATTTATGACCAGCACGGTAGGGAACCCCCGCCCAAGGAGATTTTAGAACAACAGTCGTGTGCTAGCAAGTTTGGTCCTGTCCTAACTCGCACTGTGGAGAATTTCAAGCACTCTTCGAGCCGTTCCGGGATGGAGACTCCCAGTCGCGAAGAGCGCCAGAGCGAAAGCACTCCGGTTTCGGGAAATAGGGCTTCTGGTCGTCTACGTGAAGCTCCTCCTCAGCGAGTTCCTTTTCAACCTGAGACAGGACCAACCCGCCAGTCTAGACAAGCATCCTCACACCACGGCACACCAACAACCACCAATACTGGTGCCATTAACACTGGCCATGGTTCTAATCTACTCCATGTCCAGCATCCTAATCACCATCTCCCCCAGCACCATAACCCCAACAACCCTCTTCACGTAATACAGGCTCAGCAGGCCGCTGTTCGTGGTGCCTCGAGTGCATTTACCCCTACAAACCCCGAGACTGCCTCACGCCTGGTAGAGATGTTCGAGCCGCGTCCTCCGATATCTGTTCCTCTTCGTCCCGTGAGCACCCCGGGGAACAATACAGAGTTTACCAAGCGACAGCGTCAGCTGCGGGCGGCTGCTGGTGCCCCCGATACTCAACTACCTGTTCGTCCAGCTATCCCAGGTATCGGTTTCGAGGGTCCCAACATCTACATGCGCTGCCTCCAAGCCCTGCGTTCAGGTATCCCTACTGAACAATCATTTGCACTTAACCACCTCGTCAAGATCTCATTTGAACGCGGTGATAAGTACAAATTCGAGTCATTTCTTGGCTTGGCCGAAGGTCTTATCGAGAAAGCCCTCGAAGTCGGTGGTTTATTTTACCATATTGAATGGCAGATTGCCTACTTCAACGACCCGGAGGATTCGGATGTGGCTATTCTCGATGGACTTAACGGTACAAGTGATATTCTTGACCGCATTGCGGGACTCTCGCCGAAACCGATTCTCGATTATATGCAGTCCGCCGAGTTTAGCGACCGCCTTCTTCGGATTACCGAAGCTGTTCTTACTATTCGTAATATGGTCATGCTCGTGGAAAATGCTATTTATATGGCGGATGTGTACCCCCTAAAAGATTTGCTCTGTATCCTTCTACATCTTCCAAATCTAGAGATGCTTGTTGAGATTAAGCATTTCGCGCTGGATATCGCCGAACAGCTTACACCCTGGCTCATACTTGATTCCGAAGATCCGCTGTATAGAACACTATTAACGCAACTGGACTCAACGGATCGGGGCACGATTTTGACATCTCTCCGCGCCATCAGCCGGATATCGATGAACTTAGAAGCTACGAATAAGATGCAGAATGTCCCCTCCGTGGTCCTGCAGAATATTATGAACTGGCTGCTGCTCAACGATGAGGAACTTATGGATGCATGCCTGGACTTCCTTTATCAGTATACAGCAGTGGTAGCTAATGTTGAGTCCTTACTCAAGGCCGTGAACATGGAGCACGTCGTACCTCATCTAGTCAGGCTCCTAGCTCATGGAGCGAAACGAGTCAAAGAGGACAGAGTTCTCGAACCAGAACGAAAAGCGCCGGCTTCCGAAGAAGTGGCTACGCTGCCTCCGGATCTCCAAGAACGGCTAACGAACACAGACGAGCCCCAGAGATGCTATAATTGGCTTCAGAGTCTATTTGAGGAGGACAGCGAATCTCACATCACTCAGATCGCTATATGGCAAGCCTACCAGAACTCTTTTAGGGCACTTGCGAGCAGCTCGAGGAATATGCTTAGCGCGGCCGATTTTATTAGGAATGTTAGCCATGTGTTTGTCAATGCCCGAGCACAGATTATCAGGCGGCAGCGTGCCGATCAATCGGATCTTTTTATAATTGAAGGTATCCGAGCACGAACGTTGCCCATTAATCCCGAGACAAAGGAGGAATACTGTCCGTGTCGGTGGATGGTAGCCAAGGGCCCGTACCTCAAGAAGTGCAATCAGTTCTTCCTTGGTGGGGAGACGATGTGGCATCATGTCTTGACTACCCATCTAGGCGTTGTTATAGGTGAAGGGAGTAAGATCGAGGATAAAGAGATCAACGCATCTTGCGACTGGGAGGACTGCAAGAAGTATCAAAAACCTACTCAAATCAAACTATCAGGGCTTGCGCGCCATCTGAAGACTCATTTCCCTTCGGTGCAGAAGCGTTCATTCGTCGAGGGTCCAGAGTCAGCCGCGAAAAGGCAACGCAAGGCATATATCACCCCGGCGAAGACCATGAGCCTTGCCTGGGAACAGACTATTGTCACTCGGGATGAGCGGAACCCAAAGATAGAGCAGGCCGCTGGCATCCCGCTTAGTGCCGTGTTAGTACTGCGCAACATTGCCCGCAACGTAGTCAAGACGGAGTCGGAGGAGCAGCTGCTCAAAAAGCATGAGATGGGCGGTGAAGGCGGTGGCTGGAATGAGAAGCTCTTCCGCCCTGTCATGGCTCGCTTGTTCGAGGTCATGACGGAAAATAAGGCTTTGGTAAGTTCTTTACTCATTATTTTGTGCACATCTAGATCTCGACCCCATTGCTTTGCTGCTGTCCCCTTTCTTTCCTTCTCCACTTAACCTATTTACTTTTTTTTGTTGTTGCTTACTTTACTAACTCTTCACCAGGCCGATTATATTACATCGCTTTTACAGTTAGTGCAGGATGACTAGGCGAACCGAAAAAATGGGTTTAGGATTGCGGTTTAATTTGACGAGTAAGTCAACCTCTTTACGTGTAGGAATAATACCCAGGCGTTTCAGAGTCGGTCGGTTGGGAGGAAAGGCGTTGTAGAATTCGTTTGCGAGTTCTTGACGTTTCTAGAAGCACAAGGCAAGGGTGTATCAACAACTGGCATACTGAGATATTCCTACGTGGTCATCAAATCACGTCTAGAACATAGTGAACATTGCCTTGTCAATTTTACGTCGCTTATACCTGCTAGATACTTTCAGAATATCGTAGTCTCCAATGATCCTTGTTTGTCATGCGAAATAACTTGTACTATTTTTATTTATACCTGCTTGTCCGATTTTGATTACAGTTTTACAGATAATTCAATCAATCCCACTGAGCCCCTTCGACAGCACAGCTAGCCTGGCCATAACCAACTCGGAAACCACTGGGCATGCCACTTCGGGGAGACTTCTAATCTCGCCTTCCAGCCTGTCCCTCGCGCACAGCCTGGAGGATAAGTTCTTTAGCCTTCTCACAACCCTCCTTGGAACCCATGATCTCAATGGGCTCGTCCCTGGCTTGGTCACGTGGAACATTGATCTTACATCCACTTTGTTTGCGAATTGAGTTGACCTTGGAGCCGCCCTGACCAATGACATGGCGATATGTGGACGGGTCTGGTAGAACAAGGAAACCAATAGTGTTATTCTTCTGGGCTTGTTCAAGTGCTGCCGTAATTACTTTCTTCGCCTTTTCAATATTATCCGGGCTGCCTCTTAATACCCACGGAATATCGCCATCTTCTGAGGAGGCAGTATCTATAACCGTCCAATGGTGCGCATCCGCGGCTGATTCTGCATCGTCTGTGATCAGGGGGAGAGAGCCAAAATTTTCTCGCGTGGACGAGGGCTTAGGCTTCGCTGGCACAGCATGACCAGCATGATCTACTGTAACTTTCTGGTCATTTCTAAGCTTACGGAAGAACTGCCCATTTTCTGAAATGGCATGGTGATACTTCCGTGGGATCTGTATCGTCTCGCCTTGCTGCTCCTTGATAATCGACGATATGTGCTCCTTGGCCTTCTCGACGTTGGCAGGCTGGCCGATCAGCTTCACGCCAGTCAGACCGCTCCCTTGCCGGGGAATATCAATAGAGACATTAAATTGTGACTCGAGCTGGCGTTTAGTTTCACCGCCTCGCCCAATTAATGATCGATGTTTTTCAACAGGTACTTCGACTGTCTCGGTTATCTGACTCTCGCGTTCTGATACCAGAGCTTGAATGCTAGCAATGATCTTGTCGACAACATCTTGTCGCCCTTCGATCTTGATGGCATTCCCATCCGCATCTTGCTTGGGAAACTGGATAGTTCGAGCCTGAAGTCGCCTATCTTCAGGACCGCCAGCTTTAATTACAATGTCACGAAGAGTAGAACCTATGTCAAGTTAGGATTTTGACCAAGAGCAAGTTTGATAAGTATACGTACCAC